TGTCTTTAAAATATGGAATTGATCTTACCCCAGTATTTTCAATAGAGTTTCTGCACTAGTCTGCTGCTAATGACGGCGCCTGTGTTTAAACGGTCTTTTGTCTCTTTTTACACTTTAAAAACCAAATGGAAGCTCAAGTCTGTTCAACTGATTGTATTTGAACTACATTACAACCCTTATGCTGTTAAAGGAACCGTACGAAATTGAAAATAGTCACATAAAGCTTTCACTGGAGGTTCATCAATGGCTGAAAAACACTAGCTGTGCATATAACCCCCACTGGTGCTCAGGGAACATTTACTTTCAAAGTAGAAAATAAAAGTCTTTACATTCATTAAAAAGGATATTATATTATAAACAAACTTCTCAAGTTAAAAACTTCGCAATCATAAAATTAAATGTTACTGTGCATTAAAAATCGCTTAAAACTATACTATTAATATAAAGTGCCTTAAAGAGATCAACCAAAACTGAAAGTTCTCAACTCTCAACCTTTACTTGTCGCAAACCTGTTTAACTGAACTCTGCAAACCCGGTACCTCAAGTTTTTAATGTCTGTACTGACTTAACACCCCCATAAGTGGATCTGTTCTCTCATCAGTTGGAATAGAATAACTTTACATAGATTCTGATCGTGACATGTTTCCTGATTACTGACATGTGCAGGAACCAACTAAACTAATAGACCACGCAGAACCTAAAAGGTACACTTTCTAATTTCTCTTTTTTGGAGGGGTTTATTAACAGAGACAACATATACAATTATTTTGATCATTTTCAACAGTGTTTTACTTAAATTTCGAATTTATTTTCTTTGAAATGACACCACACTTTTGCATTTACACCTCTGCATGTGAATTTGGGAGGCTTTTTAATTTGTGTGGGCAAAATCCAGGTGGAAAACTCAAAATACCACTTGACTCTAAACTTTTTTTTCTGTTGGACACAAAAGAAGATATTTTGAAAAATGTTGGAAACCTATAACCGTCGACTTTCATAGCATATGTTTTTCCTACTATTGTAGTCGATGGTTACAGGTTTATAGTGTTATTCAAAATATGGGTAACACTTTAGGTGAGGTCACGATGGACCATTTTCACAAGCCTGTTATGACGCGTTTAACGGTCATCAGCATCTTAGATCCTTTAGTTTTAAGTATTTTTTTTTTGACTTAGGAACATTTATATGTATTTATGTATGCAGTATATCATCTTTGCATCAAATGACAAAAAACGTATTAAAAAAATTACCGCTTTGGTGTTTTAATGCAATGTCTATGGGGCAGAACAGCAAATTTGATGTTATTCTCTCCTCTGACTGCCGTCATCAGTCTCACACAGTTTTATCAGTTTCTTGTCTTGATAACACCATCGTGAAGTTTTTATTTTATTATTTAAGCAACTAAGATAGTTAAAAACAAAAAAAAATAGTTTTACTCTTCCATTCCCTGCACTCTTAAGTTTCCCAACTATGACGCTACTAAGAAACCAGGAAGAGTGAAAAGGGTCTACTACTAGCTCAGTAAACTACTAATTAGCTGCTTATTAACAGTTAGTAAGGTAGAAGTTGGGTTTGGCTTTGGTAAGGATTAAAGATGTAAAATAAGATGATACTACTAATGAACAGTTCACATCTTAATATCTTCTTTTTTTATTCTTTCATAACATGTTTTTAACACGTTGTAATCTGTGTTTAATCACTGTTGTTATTTGTTTAGATTTTCTTATACTTGTCTCTTTTATTTCTGTTCATGTAAAGCTCGCTGGATTGCCACTGGGTATGAAATGAGCTAGATACATAAACAAGCCTTGCCTTACTTAGCCTGGGAATAATGCAGTAGTTAATAGAATGAATTGTGATCCAAACTAAAGCGTTACCAAAATATCTTTCTTTGTGTTCAGCAGAAAAAGGAAATGTATAAAGTTTAAGGACAAAATTGAGAACATTTTAATTTTGGGGTATCAACTATCCCTTTAATGCTAGAAGTATATTACAGTTCAGTTAAATGTGCTTTCAATGAATGAATAAAAAGAAACTGTTTATTTGCCCCTTTATCATCTAGCAATCAAGCCAACAACAAGGTTTCATTTAAGTCTATTAGAGTCAATGTAGTGCAGTTAGACTCTACCACCACTAGATGGATACCTGCATCTGCTTTCCAATCCCTAACTGAACAATAAACCCCAAAACAACAAACAACAACAACAGAAACTCACCAAAAAGCCTATTTTTTCATAACTAACACAGAAACAAGTCTGGCTAAAGACAGCAGCTTACAAGAGCCGTGTTTCCACCGAGCGCAATATCAATTGTGATGTTTACTTAAGTTTGTTTTCGTTGTTCTGCCAGTTTCAGGGGAGCAATTTCCAGTGCTGAAATTGAAGCGCTCTCCTTGAGGAATTCATTAAATTGAGAGGAAATAGTCCCCTTGTTGAAGCTTCTCCTGGAGGGAATAAGCCGGACGTGGCCCCTCGGGGCCCCGAGCATGACACGCTGCCAGCTAATAAAGCTTGCGGCTAAGTGGAGACAGTCGTTAAAAGAGCACAAATAAACACAAGCAGATACGAGTGGGTGATGCTTTGGGGATTGATAGGCATGTACAATTAAAAAAAACCAAAGAGTCTATATGGTTTCAGTTGAGTTGTGTATAGACATGCTAATTTTGCAATTCTAACTTTATATTTAGCTCCAAAAGGTAATTATGAGGCCAAGCACAACATTAACAGATGACTTTCATCACAATGATCGAAAAATCACAAATACAGTCATTACTGATATGATTGAATGATTAATCAGATTTGACCAGTAGGTGGCGCAGTTATCAGTGTGTGATGAGTAGTGTGGGTGTTCATTCATTCATTTACCTTCAGCTTGGTTTCTATTTCAGAGGTTGCCACAGCGGAATGAACTGCCAAGTATTCCAGCATATGTTTTTTATTTGGTGCAACTTCCAGCTGCAACCCAGTACTGGGACACCCATACACTCTCACATTCACACACACACTCACATACAGTACATGATAGCCAATTAGTTTACTAATGTCTTTGAACAGGAAACTGGAGCACATGAGGGAAACCCATATGAACACAGGGAGAACATAAAAACTTCACAAAGAAATGCCAACTGACCCAGCAAAGGCTCGAACCAGCGACCTTCTTGCTGTGAGGTGACAGCACTACCCACTGCGCAACCGCGTCGCCCAGAAACAGCCCTTTCTAAAGTTATAAATGATCTTCTCTTATCTGCTGATTCTGGTTTTCTGTCCATAGTTACTCTTTTAAACATTACTGCTGCTTTTGATACAATTAGTCCTTCAGTATTATTGAAACAATTGTCTTGTATAGGAGTAGCAGATAATGCGCTTCGCTGATTCTCATCTTATTTAAGTGACAAAAAAATAGTTTGTGCTGATAAAGAATAGACGCTGTGATCCTGTCTCAGTTATTCGTGGTGTTCCTCAAGGGTCAGTATTGGGTCCACTTTTTTTTATCTTTTATTATGATGTGCTTGCTGTACTCTGTAAGGTTTTCTTAAGTGCTTTAAAAGCATCTATTCAAATTTATTATTATTATTATTATTATTATTATTATTATTACTATTAAACTCCACACAGAAATGCTAACTGGCCTAGCCGGGACTTGAACCATTGACCTTCTTGTTGAGAGGCAACAGTGCCAACCACTGAGCCTCCGTGTGGGTGTCACTTTGTCAAAGCTTTGCCATCCAATTTGCTGAGGGAGTAAACAAACGTATCTAGAACATCTTGCAAAAATGTCAAGATGAGTCATGTTTAGTTAAAATCAGGTTAAAAACATTTTAAAAACGCTTTAAGCTAAAAGACGCTGCTTTAAAAAGCTTTTAAGTATCTTCAGGTGCCGAAGATGCACAAAGAGGTTTGTAATTATGCACCAGTACATTTCTAAACCATAAATACAAAATCCAATTTGAATTCCATCATTTTGTCGACTGCTCACACATTATTTAAAAGCTGTCTGACTAATCAACTTGAGTTCCAGAACTTTTTGTAAGCATCATATAAAACATACAATGTCTGTCTTTTTTGTCAGTATAATTTTTGGCAAAACTTAAAAAATAAACTGTGTCCATTTATGTCATGGTTGTCATAACACACCAATTGTGGTCTAAATTTGTTAAAGCGGTCTCACATCTACATTTGAATTCCATAACATTGTTGTGTTGTCACAATACTGAATTACAATACTGACATTTTATAAACGTCCATTTCCTGCTAACATTTAAGTGATGTTTAGTATGTGCTTATACATCACTGATTTGCCATTGTGTTCACATGCTCAACAGAAATTACTGTGATTGGCTGCGTTTAAGAATGTGCTCAACATTGCTTAATGGTTAGCGGGAAATGGACATTTTTAAAATTCAGAATTGTGACAACTTAATAACTTTGTTGACTATTTTAATACATTATTTAACCACAGTCTGAAATGTCAGCTTTCATGCCATACATTTTTTCTACCATCACTTAAGACAAATTAATTTTCCGAAACATTCTAAATGCGTACAACATTTTGTGATGGAAAAAAGACTTCATAGGGTACATTCATAGGGTTTCCCCCCACAGTCCAAAGATATGCACTATAAGTGAATTGAATGAACTACATTGGCCATGGTGTATGAGTGTGTGAATGTAAGAGTGTATGGATGTTTTCCAGTACTGGGTTGTGGCTGGAAGGGCATCCAATGCGTAAAACATGTGCAGGAATAGTTGGCAGTTAATTCCACTGTGTCGACCCCTAATAAACAAAGGACTAAGGAAAATGAATGATGGGACTAATGATAGAAGTTGAGTTAGACTCTAAATATTCTGTGGTTAATGTTCTGATTGCCGTGTATTGATGTGCTAAATTTTCTAAATTTGCTTTTTAAGGTCTGTCATACCCAAGAGCAGAATAGAATAGCATATGGAATAGGTGCCTTAATAAATAATAAATAAACAATAAAAAAAAACAAGAGCTAAAGGTTTAAGTCATTTTATTTCTTTATTTTTCATTTCAATTAGCATATAAAGAATTAATGTCCATCTTGAATGTTAAAATAAACAGTCAAAAAAAAGACAAATAAATAAAAAGTTGCCTTTCTTTCCTTAACGTCCCAATTTTGGGTGAAAGTGACGTGAGATTACAGCCTAATTCATGTGTGCTTTACCACTGTAAAGGATCCAGAACTTGCTGGAGAAGGCCTTGCGTGCCTCGTCAAGATAAATACACTCTGTTATTTATAAGGCAACAAGCGCGATCTGTAATCGTGTTAACGAAAGACGAAAAAAAAGAATAAAGGTGATTATTGCAAAAATACAGTAAAAGTAAACACAAAAGATGCTCTCGGCTAAAGTAAAAATAAAAAATACCATTTTATACTTGGTACTATCACAGCAAATCATACTGCCTGCAAAAGGTGCTGCGTAATAGCTGCTGTCAGGATAGTAGAACTTCATACGCTCGTGTAAGTGATATTGGACCGAGTCTGCCAAACATCACAAGCCACATTCTGGAGCGAGCAGCACAGTCTGGAAGAGGTCATAAAACATTATTTCCAATTGTACAAACGGACTCATTTGTAAACGTACCTCTTTCAGGATGCTAAACACAACATAAACTTATTGGATGATGTAATCTGTGCATAACATTTAAAATAATGCAGGAGGGGGGGGTTCAGTTTACAGCAAGAAAGGCAGCGTTTCTGAACAAGGCACTGTGTGAATATTTCTAGGTTGAGGCTTTTGCATTAATCATTCATTAAAGTTCAAGTATCAGCGGTGGAGGTGCGGATACTGGGAAGAATTTGCCTTTTAAAACGGACTTCATCCTGAATGCATTATAATAGAACGCTAAGGCACCGCATTGTCGCCATTAATAATTTATGTAAAGCTTCAAAAGGTCTAAGGCCTAAAATCCCAAGAAAATTTGGGCAGGATGGTGAGGAAATCGGCTTAAATACAAGTGGAGGTTTAGATGTGGACTAGTTATTTCGCCCACAAAAAAAGTGAGACAATCGCCACCATGACCTCACGCTCTTTTAATAGAACGACAAACACTCGCAAATATTGAATGCTAGATAGATGCCTTCTAAGGGAGAATTTTAAGTAATTTTGATAGTCATGTTTTTCTCATGATTACGAGATTGTCGAAAGCGTATCATATTAATATTTCCCGCCGATGCGATGACAAACAAAAATGGAGGTATATAAGCGATAATCGCATTGTACCAAAATTGAAAAGAGCAAAGATCAAGTCAAACCAGTTAACAACACTGCTTAGTTTTTCCTTTTTCTTCTTTATAGACTGCTATATTTGATGTATTCTAGTAAACCAAAGGCCTTGCTTTGTGCCCTACGTTGTATACTTTGTAATGAAAGAAGCCAGGTTGCAGGCTTTAAAATGACATTTGTAGGCAAAACGATGTTCTGCCAAAGGAGAAGGAAGAGGAATCGGGTGTGAGACTCAGTTTGCGATCCGACCGTGCATGTGTTTGGCCATGCTGTACACATAGGTGATGTCGGGCCTTTTCTCCGGGTCCGGGTTGATGCACATATCTACCAGCTTTCTCAGCTATAAAACAAACAAACAAACAAACAAAAAGACAACACGTTAATTCAGAAGACAGATCAAAAATACAGAACACTACACAAACAGAACAAGGGATAAGCCAAAGTAGGGCGTGCGAGCTGGTTGGCCCATTGTAACCTTTGATTTGGCCCACCATCCACCTTATTCATGTTTATTTATTCATGTTTATTTCATTTAGCGCTTTTCACAATGTAGATTGTGTCGTAGGGGCTTAACATATTTCTAGTAAAGTTCAGATTTATCCTTAAAGGATGGTGAGAATGATGGATAATGGCTTTAATAATGGCTTTAACACAGAGCTCGACATTTCTAATTTGATGCAACGTTTTTTGTTAGTATGAGGTCCCTTTCATTGCTGCTTGCAGCTTTAATTTGTTAGTTTTATTGCTGAGGTACAAAAAAAGCAAACTGAAATCAAATGTTTCAATTAAATCTTGTAAATTAATCTGATTTTTTAAAATACAAATATCATCATTTAACAGATAGAGGACTACGCAAAAGATATTGGCGAGTCAAGGCAAAAACTAGTATCCTTCTGTTATAAATTAGATTATTTTTGTTTTTACTGTAATACGTTTATTATAAAATGTAAAAAACAACAACAACAACAAAAAAAGCTGTATCATTTAATATAAAGCAATGTCTTCTAGTCATTTTTAAATATTATTAAATGAATTGTAAAATTACCCATGGCTTGCACCAGATAGAATCTGCTGATATTTTTTTGCTATTTCTGCAGATAATTTTGTAAAAAATCTGCAGATTAACGCTGAATTATTTTGAAAAACTTAATATATGAACTGAAAAACAGTAGCTTTTTAACTTTTATTCAATGTTTACAATGCAAATCCAATTAGATCCACTTTATTGGTAAATAAAGCAAGCCTATTGTACAATATATTTTTTAAAGACAGAAAATATGACTTTACAAACTGTTTTGTAAATAAATCAAATGAATACTTTCATATTAGTCAATAATACTACTGAAATTAATTTAAAAACTGAATAAATATAAATTTACACAAGTAAACAAATAGACTCAATGATGGGCTAAAAATCTGCGGAAATCAGATTTCTGTGTGCACAGATTCCGTGTGGGCCAACCCATGGCAACTACAGTATAATTACCATCAGCGCACTAGCTTCAGTCAAGTTTGGTTTTTGGCCCTTCATATAAAAAAAATGTGGGCACCCCTGATCTAGCAAGTTGAGGAGTTTTAAGTCCACTCGATGAACCACTTCCTCTTTTCAAAGGGAAAAAAATGTCATATGCTAAAAAGATGACACATACAGTATGAAGATTTAAGATGCACAAACCTCCAAGTTTCATCTGAAATAGTTTTCTAAATTATACTCTTTTTTTTTTCTCAGATTTTTGTGTGCAGGTTCAGTAATGTCACATTTATGTCAAAAATAGATTGTTTTCATCGTCTTTAATGTAAAATACATAAAAAAACAGGGTTTATGCAGGTTTTACAGAGTTAAATTTAAGACTTTAAGAGGAAGTTTTAGACCCATAAAGGGCTAAAGGCCAAGGAACTTTTCAATTGGCTTAGATGGAAATGATTTATATATATATATATATATATATATATATATATATATTTATATAGGGGTCTGTGTCCTCAGCAGCAAATGGAGAACTACTAAACAATCGTTACAGTAAGGAAAATAATCAAACCATTATGGTAAATAGTTAAAAATGACCTTTTAAATAAAAAAGTTGAAAGTTTTATTGAGATGATTGTTGGTGATTGTATGGGTTTTGGCCAGATTGTGTAGCAATACATGAACAAAGGAAAATTAAGACCTGTTTAAAAAAGATTTAAGACTTACAACACAATATTTCAGTAAATCTAAGACTTTATAAGGCCAAAATTTTGGATTTTGAGATTTAAGACATTTTATGACTTTAAGAAACCCTGGAAAAGAAGCATAGGAGACTGAGAAAAATTTTAGAAGAAATTTTTAGATGGCACTTGTTTTTGCAGCTGAACTCTTCATATACAAATAAACACAAAAATATTAATAAAATAAATACATTTTACAATAAAATAACTTTTTACAGGAGTGCTAGTTAAAAATAGAATGAAGAATAAAATTATCATTTTAATAATTGAATCATTAAATTGTGTATACATAAATCAGAATTTAAATGGAAAATGAATAGACAAATAAACAGACATATTTAAAAGGTATTTATTTAAATTATTATAATAAATGTCATTTAATAAAGCAATAAATCAGTGCATATAAAAACAACTTTTACATGTACAGTTTAAATCATTAATCAGTTATTAGCCTCCCTGAATAATTCGCCCCTCTGTTTATTTTTTCCCTATTTTCTGTTTAACGAAGAGCAGATTTTTTTCAACACATTTCTAAACATAATAGTTTTAATAACTCATCTCTAAAAACTGAATTATTTTATCTTTGCCATGATGACAGTAAATAATATTTGACTAGATATTTTTCAAGACACTTCTATACAGCTTAAGGTGACATTTAAAGGCTTAACAAGGTTAATTAGGTTAACTTAAAATGGCTTTTACAAAATTAAAAACTGCTTTTATTCTAGCCGGAAAAAAACAAAAAAAAACAAATAGGACTTTCTCCAGAAGAAAAACTATTATCAATATAATCAGACATACTGTGAAAATTTCCTTGCTCTGTTAAACATCATTTTGGAAATATATAAAAAAAAAAAATCTCTATTTGCCACTTGCTTTTCATTGCCTTTTGAAAACTAAACCTTTCCTAGATGCATTTCTCAAGTTGAAAAATAAATCAAGTTTAAAAATGCCATTGGACAGTTCACACACAAGCAACCAATCAACTTTCGCATAAGGTCAAGCTAGACCCTCTCTTGCTTGTAAATCATCGGGCAGGAATATATAATGGATTTATGCACATTATACACGTCTATAGAAAAAAAGCAAATAAATAAAATCCTAAAATAAAATTTTAAAAACGCTTCAGGTATTTTCAATTTTACTTACAAATATTTTTACAGTTGTTAACTATAAAATATTAACTATAAACTATAAATATAACTGTAAATATGTATTATTATTTTTATTATTAATTTTGTTAATAATATTTGTCAACATTGCTATGAATATTGCAATAATCATGAAATATTTGTATTATAACAATAATAAAGATAACTAAATAACTATCTAAATAAATATCTAAATAAATAAATAAATAAATAAATGATCAGAGATTTAGTCTGGAATAATGTATTAGCAACTGGCTTAAGAAAAACAAAATGACTGACAATAAAATAAAAAAAGTCAAGTGTTTTAGAGTTCAGTGAACTGCAATGCTGAGGGAAAGCCTCGGAGCAATGTAACTTCCAGCAAGAAGCCCTCTGGCCCTGCGAACATTTGTCAATTCTCCACTACTAAAGTCCCAGACACACACACATGCACGCACACACACACACACACAAACATACACACACACACACAAAAATAAAAAGTACACAAACACACAGTCCCAGCTAGTCAGAGTCGTGAAGCTGCACCGAGGAATAAACTGAGCCCAGACAAGCAGCGGCATCATTAAAAGTGGGGGGAAAGTGGGAACGGGAGGGAAAAAAAGGCGGAAGGAAAGAAGATGCCCCTGTGTCAGATCGCCATGGCAACCGCCTCTGTTGCCGAGGCCCGACTGCTGTTGCATGGCGCCGCGTCTCCTAATCAGCCCGGCATGTGAAATGCAAATGCAGACAGTCTGAGAATTAGTGGAGAAGAAATGGGGGACGGCGAGCGCGGATGCAGATATGTAAAATATTCATGCTTCTGCGCCAGAGAAATGCGGGGGGTTTCGGTGGTCTCCGTTCTCTTACCCCCCCGTTTTAAGGGGAGCCTGTCTGTCAGGTGAGATACAAGGAGATGGTAAATGACACACCAAAGATGAGCGGCTGACACTTTTTTGCCTTTCGCCTTCAGGAGCATTGTTTACATGTAGACAGGGAGGGAGGCAGGCCTTCCTGCGGCACTGGAACTGCTGAATGCCGGGCTTGTAAATAATAATAATAATGGCAGCTTTGGTTGGACGTGCTGGATCTATCGCAGGGTACTGAGATGCTTGACATCAGAGAGTGACGGCACGGTACCAGGAAAGACTGCGGATGCTTTCCAGGCTAGAAACTCGCATGTTAGGTTGGCGATGGTCTACTTGATGGACCAGTGTGGATATGAAGAATAGCTATAAGCAAATACAACTGAAGATGATGATAAGCGATGTCATCGTTCACTCAACTGTATAATTCCAGACTTTTGAAAAGTGCCTTTTGCATTAAGTCAATGGGGTTCAATGGGAGTTCTTACTTTGGACCCCATTGACTTTCATTGTGGGGAATAACGATACTGAAATGTCTTACTTCGACAATATGTATCAATATTGATACCGTTTTTGATACCAATGGGCAAAAATTACAGCTATTATTCAAAGTCAAAACCTCAAGCATGGCTTAATGAGTACATTTACATGGACATCAATAATCCAATAATACAATTATGACAATACTTTGATTAAGAGTCCACCATGTAAACAGCAATTTTAATGACATTAATTCGACTAAAATCATAATAAAACTAAACAGAAATCTGATTAAGACATGTGGAGTATGCCGATATTAGTAGCATTATTGAAGTGCAGCACAAATATGTAAACACCGCAATCAAAGCTGTTTGACACTATTATCTGTACCTATCGAGTCAGTGAAGAACCACAGAGACCTGCATTGCGAAATGCAGAGGGTTTTTTTCACCATACGGCATGCAGTATTAAAACAACACTCTTCCAGCAGTTCAAACTCACATCCAATATCTCGTTTGTCACGGGGGGCATGCATGAAATGTTCCTGAGTTAAAGTGAAAGTGCCAAACTGCAGTTAAATTCGACAAATTAAAAATGAAAAACCCAAAACTACATGAAACTCCGGAGGAAATGGGGATAGCCTGGTTGCTGCACACGTCCAACAGCTGTTGTGAATTTTATCTCTTCGCAATAAAAACAAATATATTACAAATATACATTAAAAAAATATTTATAAAAAAAATATATATATATATATATAAAAAAAGGTTTTGAGATGACTGAGGTGATTGGGTAGTTTTTCTTGGACAAAGGAAAATTAGGACCAGTAGATGTGCTCTTATGTTAGACTAGTTTCTCTATATATTATTTCCTACATATTATATTATTTCAAACTACTAAAATGTCAATAAAAGTCGCTTTTTTAAACTGTAAAGTTTGACATGCCATAATGCATTTCACAACCGTAAATAAACAGAAAACACTTGTGAATCATAAAAAACAGAAACTGTAATAGATATTTTTTACAGTTTAGCTGCTTTTTAATACATTTCACAACTTTTAATTCCAGGTTTGGTATGAGACTAGCCTAATTTATATATATATATGTATATATGTATATATGTATATATATATATATATATATATATATATATATATATATATATATATATATATATATATATATATATATATATATATATATATATATATATATATATATATATATATATATATATATATATATATATATATATATATATATATATATATATATATATATATATATATATATATATATATATATATATATATATATATATATATATATATAAAAGCTAAAACAATATTGAAACCAAATGAACAGTATTAAAAGAATAATGAATGAGTCATGTTGGCAGTTTTGGTGGGAAGTGCTGGATCTCTCAGGTGGTTGACATCAGAGAGTGACGGCATGTTCTAAGAAAAGACTGGCCATAATTTCCAAGCTGGAAATACACATGCTGGTTTGGTGATGTGTTGATGATGCAGACTTGGTTTGTGTGTGTGTGTGTGTGTGTGTGTGTGTGTGTGTGTGTGTGTGTGTGTCTGTGTGTTACAATATTTACAATACCACAGGGAAATCTTGCTGCAGCAATAATTAAAATGACAATATCCATGCATGTTTAAGTATCTGTTAAAACCTCAAGCATATATAGATATTTACTACTATTCCACTACTATTCCACTACTATTCCACTTAATATAAATTAAAATTAAGATCAGTTAAGATTTTCACTTATGCTAACAGTTTCACCAGCCCAGCTTAAAGATAAATAAAAGAGTGAATTAAATATTTGTTGTTTTGAACTATGTAAGATTCATAATATATTATAATTTTAATAAATATGTTCATGACGTAATGACGCAGTGGCGCATTAGGTAGGGCTGTCTTCTCACAGCAAGAAGGTCATTGGTTCGAGCCTCGGCTGGGTCAGTTTGCGTTTCTGTGTGGAGTTTGCATGTTCTCCCTGCATTCGCGTGGATTTCCTCCGGGTGCTCCATGCGAGACAGGTTAATTGGGTAGGCTAAATTGTCCAGTGTATGAGTGTGTGTGTACGTTTCCCAGGGATGTGTTGCGGTTTTAAGGGCATCTGATGTGTTAAAAGAGGCTGGATAAGTTGGGGGTTACTATGCTGTGGCGACCCTTAGATTAATAAAGGGACTAAGCCGAAAAGAAAATGAATGAATGAATGTACATGATGTTAATTGGGTTTAATGTTCTTGATTTGGACCGCATTGATTTTTATTGAAGAAAAAGCAAAAATGAGTTGAAACATTCTTATAAATATCTTCTTTTGTGCTCCACAGAAGAGTCAGTCACGAAGATGAGTAAAGGCTGTCAGCATTACACTTTTCTTAGCGATAACTTTAATCCTCAACACGCATTTGAGCCCGTTTTTACCTTAAAGTAATGTTTAGTTTTTAGTAAAAAAGAGAAAAAAGTTGCTAATGCTTTAAGACCCTCAAAATATATCTTAAAGATATTAATTTCTCTGAATTTTTACAACAAAAAATATATGAAATATAACATTTTGGATCCATGAATGTCAACTGGGCTTTAGTATCAAAAATGTTTCTCATATCTAACAGTTATGGGACTGACGTCTGTTTTTCTTCAGCATAATGTATGTGATTATATAATTAATTTATATATATAATTTATATTTTGGATTCATGAATGTCAAATGGGTTTTAGTGTCAAAAATATTACCCACATCAAAAATCATAAAATGTAAATATGTGGGTCCAAACTATGACAAATATGCTAATATTAGGCATTTAACTGGAAATCATGGCTCAACTAACTTACAATTTCATCATTTTTGCTTAAAGTCCTTCTGATGAGCCGTTAAATGGATATTTTAGCTGTCAATTCCAAGTCTTTCTTCAGCATAATGTAAGTGAATATTTACATTTTAGATCCATAATGTCAACTGGGCATTAGTATTAAAAATGTCTCGCATCTAACGAAAAATACATCTAACAATTTCGGGACTGAATTTGATTGATGAACATCCTAATGTACACAAGTTTTTTTTTTTTAATAAAAATGAAATATTTGGCCCCAAACTAGAGCTTACTCCAAACTCGCTTTATAACCAAGTCGAGTGCTTGGAATAAATCTCTCTGTGAGATGATTCTGTAGTCGTGTGATTAGTAGTCAAACTGAATCAATGAAAGCAAGCAGTCAAATCTTCTGTTTACAATGCTACGCTATGTTTTTTTTCCCCCTTGGGTTTCTAATTTGTAGGTGTTTAGAGTGCACAACAAGCTTCTCTGACATCACAATGGCATCGTTTGCTATCCTATTTTGATTATTGTCCAGTCCTAGTCCAAATATACCCACAATGCCAACATGTAAAACACATTTTGAATGTAACAAGGTTTAAAAACTACAACAGAAATGAAAGCTCTATGACAGATGCCAAACTAGGGCAAGCAGGCCAAAATTGGCCCATGAGTGACAATGATGGGGAGTGTTAATGCCTTTAACAGAGATTGTAATTTCTAATTTAACATAACTTTGTATGTTTGTTTTATTACTAAGCTAAAAAAACTGAAAATATGTTTCAATTAAATGTTGTAAATGAATCAGATTAAAAAATATATAGAAATAATGTCACTCAACAGACGCAGAACACGTCAGCAAGCAAATCAAAGCAAAAAACGCTAGCGTAACTCCATTCTGCTATAAATGGGAATGCCTTATTTTACTGTAATAACTTCATTATAAAATGTAAATAGTTAAATAAAATGTAGTTAATATAAAGCAATGTTTTCTGTTTATTTATAAATACTACATAAATCAGGAAATTAATGGCAACTCAATGTAATAGAGGTTTGGTATCTTTACTTTTGGCCAACCACACTCAATCAGTTTTTGGCCGTTCATAACAAAAAGTTTGGGCACGCCTGCTCAATGAGAAAGGCGTAAATATAAAGGTCAAGCTATCAAATGTTTCACCAAAATGAGCTCAAACACAAGACAAACCAAATGAATGGTGAATTCACCTGATAAAGTGATTGTGAAATTTGTAAGTGTCAATGTTTTAGACTTAGAATTCCCTGACTGAAACTGACAACTGAATTCATCATGCAAAAAAAGACATACCTCTTGAGAGTAATGGTCAGATGGTAGAGGTGGGTAGTCGCACTGCTCAATCTTTTTACACAGCGAGTAGAGATTCATTTTGTCCCCGTAGAACGGACTCTGCAAGGCCGCCATCTAGAGAGGAAAAGAAATATGAAAGGTGATTTCAGAGAAAAAGACATTTGGTAGACAGCTTGTTAGACACAATGGCAGACAAGTTCTTGGCAAAGCTAATAATTCATTGTCTAAATGTGATTTGAATGGACTTCTGTGAAGATAAAACAATTATTTATATTTCACTGTCACAGTTCACACCTGGAGTTGAGAAATTCATTCAATCCACAGTTCTCACATCTCTCATTCAGCATCTTGAAACACACTAAATCTTCATCAAGCAGTGTCTACACGTCATAGAAGCCAACAGACAACTGCCATCTGTTAGCTTGAGCCGTGAGGAAGCTAAGAGTTGAGGCTAAAGAGCATGTATCATGTCACTCAGAAGAGTCTATGCATTAAATATGCAATATTAAATACAATAGACACATTCTCTGGCAAAATAATGGTTTACTAACTGTAGACTGCTTAGTGTCTAGACAAATACGCTAATATTAAGTATTTGAATGGCAATCGTGGCTCATATCTAACTTTCAATTTCACTCTTTTCACTTACAGTCCTTCTGATCAGTTGCTAAATGGACATTATAGCTGTTGTCATTTATTCACCCTCAAGTACTTTCTGTAATTAAATTTGGCTAATTGAAAGGCTTTGAAATACGGGAGAAACATCACTTTGAAAAAATAAAACAAAAATTAGGAGAAAACAAAATGTTAGCTTGAAGTTTGTTTCAGGTGTTCAAAACAACTCTGAAAAGCAAAACGTTTGGCTCTGAGCCTCGGCCTTCTTTGAAGTGGAAATGACCTCCAATTCATTTCTTCTGATCAGTATATCAAGGTCAGATGTCGGCAGGCAAAAACAAAGACTGGAGAGCTGATTTATTGTAGAAGATGAAGTGTGAGGGGCACGTCTTTGCATCTAATAACGTGAGATGCATCACTCGGTTATGCTTTTTAAAAAAGTGCCTCATACGTGTTGTTAAAGTCACGAAAACTTTACATAGTATGCAGAATATAATAGCCTGTTTCCACTGAGTGGTACGGTACGCTTTTATGGCCGCTTCCACTGTTAAAAGGTACCTAAAAGCGAACTGTACCGTACCACTTTTTGGGGGCCCTTTGCAAAGAACACCTAGCATAAAAAAAGGAGAATGAATACAAAGAAACCGACATTTTTAAAAACACAGCTGAGACATTACACTGTAATAATATATATATATATATATATATATATATATATATATATATATATATATATATTATAACGAGCCATAGTCAACCTGGGGTCCGTTCTTCGTACATGGATTACTCAGTTAGCTGGATTTGGATATTGACGATTTGACACAATCCAGGATCGTTTCGTTCTTCAAAGCTGATCCGAGAGCTGTTGTCATGGCAACAGTTCTGCTAGGTCAAACCTGATCGGGAGCAGGTTCAATTCATATAAACAGGATTAGATTGGCTCAGTTCAAGCAAAGATAATACAGAAAGTATGTTCCGAATTCTGATATTTTCTTACAGTAGTAGTTATATACACTTGCAGAAATGGTACATATTTTTTAACTATATATATAAAGTTATAGTCATTAATAAAATAAATAAAGTTATACATATTAATAAAACGTATGCAATCTGCACCCTCGAAATGAAAGTACAAAGACTGCCATCTGGTGCAAAGAGAAAACTTATTGTTATGAACTTTTTAGATCGCTTTAGTACAAATTGTGTATAATAGAAATGCACAATATGTCACTTTTTTTAAAGCAATAATACATATGCAGTCATAAACATGTTTTGATAGTTAATATGTCAGTGATTTGATGCTTCACAAAAGTTGCAGACACCTTTACCAATATGAAAATGCTTTTGTAAACAACCAGTTATTCTTTACACCGATTAAAAAACGGCTACTATTATAAAGAAAATCTTTTCTAAATGTAGAACTAAATACATTGATTTGCATTGAAATACATGATGAATACTCTTGTCTTGACAAATGAAAGTGTAAAGCCTGCAGCTCACAACAAATGTGTAAATTTCTTGCGTGTCATATTTAACAAACCGTTTACTGCTAATTTGATGTATTTTTGCTCACATGGATAATTGAATATTAATCAGATGTCATTACGCTGCTGTGCCGTCAGCCAATCGTTGCATTGCTGATCATGATTTCGAGGATCGATAGATCTGTCCTTCATAACACACGCAGCGATCAGATCAGTTCATCCAGACATTCTAATCTGATTCGCGAACTTGAAGAACCAAATTAGCGAGAGATCAGTTATCAAGATTAACAGATCCAGGATCTGCCAAATAATGTTAGATCATTAAAGCGAGGTACGAAGAACGGATCCCTGAGCTCAAACAAACCTTGTCGTCATCTTGATAAACAGCCACAAAGCCAAGAACAACTAAATCTGCTATGTCCTGTTTTTGTTTTACGAGGCTGTCTAAAAGTGTGAGCGGTTTCACTTTCTTCAGAGAACTCCTTTAGCTGATTATAATAACGTACACGTGATTATTGAAGTGCCTCTGACATCCAATCCTTTCAGAAATGGACAAACACGAGAGTGAAGCGCGAAAAAAAGGAGAAGCTAAAAAAGGGAGCAAATGATTCCTTCAGCAACCTAAAACATGAAATATCTGCCATGTTTGACTATTAACATCATCTTTATCATTGATTTGCAGGTATAATCAAATCATGTTCATAGAAAGCTTAGTCATGAACAAACACAGCATACACAGGTATTTATGTGAATAAAGCATGTTTTGTGAAAAGTGCTTTTCATGTGATATGTGAATGTCCCTTACAGCTTTACTTTGACATTTCCTCAAGCGAGAATGACGTCGACTGAAACTCTCTGTCGTATCATTGGTACGCTTTTAGCAGTGGAAACACAAGCCTTATAAAGGTGACCCATACCGTATCATACTGTAAAACTCAGTCAAAACCGGCCTTAACATTGCTTGCCCGGCCTCAGGGTTCTTCTGATTGGTCCACTTTGGAGCTAACATTGATGAGTGGCGCTGTGTGGAGAAATTCAAGGCTTAAAATCCCAGAGCTTATGTGACTGTCACTTAAAAAGACACGAAACGCAAGTGGTCATGCCAAACTGAGCCTGGTTTCTCTCAAGGTTTTTATTCCTTTACTTTCATCAATTGGTAAAGTTTGTTCCTCGGCTTGCTTGGTTTGAGACTTGTGGACCTGCGCATCAATGGATTTGCTATTTAGCGTTTGTACTTCCAGCAGTGAAAATTAAAATACACTCAACTGAACTAAACTAAACTTAAACTCTGAAAACTGGACTGACAGTTTCAGTTTACTAGAACTTCTATGTGTAGCTGCTTTGACATAATCTACATTGTAAAAGTGCTATAGAAATAAAGGTGAATTGAAGTGTAATGCTCATGCATGTCAATCATGAACACATTTGCATAGAAAAACAACTGCAAAGCATTACATCGGAATGAAAAAAACTTTGTAAATGCCTTTCTAGTGTAAAACAATGTCAATGGGTCTCATTTACTAAGCATTGGTACAGTACATACACATTTGTTGATGAAATCGGTTTTCAAAAACAAATCATGATTCACCAAAAATTTTACACGGCAATTTATTCCAAATTTACACACACACGCAAAGTAGGATTCTTAGGCCCAATCCCAATTCTACCCCTTAGCCCTTCCCCCTACCCCTTCTTGTCCTTTTGCACATTCACGTGAAGGGGTAAGGATGTCCCAATTATCTTTAGCTTGAACGCGTAGGGCTAAGGGGAAGGGCTAGATAGCCCTTCAAACAGAGATTTTTCAGGATCACATTTGTAACCAAGGGGTATGAAAATTTCCCAGAATACACCAGCTAAAACGGCATCATGGCTGCACACGAAAGTCAGGAGATGAACAGATTAGTATTTGTGTCATTATTAAGAATTTTTACAACAAACAAGCACGTTTTAATATATTCATTATCCACTCATGTTTTACCGTCATATTTCAAAAAAAATAAATAAAATAAAAAATAAAAAAAACCCGCTAAATTTTGCTATCTATAATCCCTAATAATAACTCTTGTATAGCAGTCCCACAACATTCTGACACTTGAATATCCTGTCATAGTCTAGTGGCTGGAAATGAGCTTTTTACAGTGTCTGTTGTAATGTCTATGTTGTTTTTGTGTGTTTAGATGTGGATATGGCCACAGTGTAAATGGACAGTACAGTTACAAACTTATTGCCACATTAGATCATTATATGATAACATAATATCGTTGTCTTTGATTTCCTGAAGATAAATACTAAGGGTGTCACAATCCTCCAAATCCTCAATTTGATTACATTTTCGATTCTAAAGTCACGGTTGGATTCGATTTTCGATTTATAAACGAAAATTTAAAATCATAAATAAATCATACAGTAAATAAATAAAGATAAGTTACAGATATATTTACCACCTGTCAATCACTTTTTCTGTGGGACTCGTGAATAGGCAGAGTGATCTGTGTCATTACAATGGAGTCGGTAAAAAAGTGCACAACCAACAGGAACCAGCCAACAGTATCTGAGGTGTTCGCTAAAATTACTTGGTACAAGTGTGAAAGTAAAAGATTGAAGCAGTCTACTGACTCGCTGACTGCCTGGACCCGCTGTCTCGTGCATGACAGTGTGTGTGCGTCTGTAAGTGAATGTGTGTGTGGTCACGTGATGTGCGTTTTCAGCAGTAGTGAGGAAGGAGGGCTGCTCAGAAATGCTAAACGCCAGTGTGGATGTGGATCATTGTCGTTATAAAATGCCATTTAAAATAGAAGACCTATTAGTGTAAACAGGACCTGAGTGTCTATTTTTCGCTAGAGGATTTGCAACGGGGGCGGGGCGGAGGATCCCAATGCCGGCATTGTCTAGTACTCGCCCAAGCCTAATATGCACATAGCAGACCTTGCGAGCTGCGTTTTTTTTTTTTTTGTCGACAACACAAACGTTGTCAACATAACTCATTGGAAATCCAAAAAACTTCCACACCGACGG